ATGCGTTGAGATGGTCGGAGTTTCATCCTGTTTGCATCCTTCACAACACAAAATCACTATAATTTTCAGAATACTGTTTTATCACACATCTTTCGGACATTTACAACTATTTCAGTACTTGAAGCACGACAAGCCTGGACAACCTTGTGCCTGCAAGACGGGGTAATTTTCAGATATTTGTGATATCCGGACGGATGGGGCTACTTCTGTGAGCGGGATCTCTAGTCGATTCCCGCTTGGAATGCTCATCCAGCCGTTAAGTTCTCGCTATGCTATTTGCCAAAATAGACCTCGCGAAAACACGCACGCCAGTATACCCAGCGATCGTCAACGGATGAATGATCGCCAGTGTGAAACCTTTGTTGCCATATTAGCTTCCGGTGGAGAAATATAATTATTTTTTCTCCACGGTGGAGAAATAGATTTTTTTTTCTCCACGGTGGAGAAAACAGCTTCCGGTGGAGAAACGACACCCCCAAGTCTTCCCCAAACGTAATCAATCATAATGAGAATTGACATTTCGGAAAAAGTCTTCTTCCACCTTGGGCTCGCACACTGCCTTCATACTCCATCACGAATCAGTAGCACCTTCAAGGTAACTATTAGTTGATTGTTGTAGCTTCCATCGCTAAACAGTTTTGTTTGTGGCTGTACGAAAGTAGTTGTGGGGGCGCCCTGCTCCTACAGTATAGCACCAAACTCAGCAGGTTTCTTCTTCTTTTTCTTCTTCTTCTTAACTTCACCCCCGGCTTCAGCATCTTTTTTGGTAACCTTCTTCTTTTTCTTTTTCACCTTCTTTGGCTTTTCAGTTCCCTCGTCCATGCTTTCATCATCACTCTCTATTCGTTCCTTTTTGGAGTGCCTGCTCGACTTATTGAGCTGAGTGGGGCTTAGGGGGGGGGGAGAAGGCGGGGAGAGAGGGGGAAAAGAAGAGGAAGAAGGAAGAAAAAGGAGGGTTTTAACGCGCTTGTTTCATCGGGAAAATTCTTAGCAAGATTGATTGACAAAGTTCTTCCAATGTCATAAAGGCAGCATTCTGAAGATTGATCCCGACTTGTGGTAGATTCAAGAATGGAGGAGACGCAAATGGGAGCTGCACGGTTGGTGGGACTTGGACGATGCGATTTGGAGCCGACAACAATCTTCCTGGCGCTGGTGGTGGATTTAGAACTTGCTGTGGATGGGAAATTGGTGCATTCTTTTTAAGTTTAGACTGAAAGAAAGGTGAGCGCATTTGAAAAATTGTTCAATGGAACACGGCCAAGATCGCAATTCAGATTTTCTTACCGATTGTACCGTGTTGTTCTTGCCAGCAATTGTATTCTCTCTTTGTGGACTTGCGACAGTATCAAATTGGATTGCGCACGATTCGCACTCCTTGCAACTGCAGAACCCTCCATCTAGTGGCATAATAACAGAGACAAACCAGTTAGATGTTGGGGCGACATTCGATCAAGCTTACTCCATTTAACAACTATAGACCTAAGGGCACACTGAATAGGAATAACATTCAGGTACCAATGTGTGGGGGGTCGATGCTGAATCCATCCGAGTAATCGACCACCATACCTGCAACTTTAATCGTTTGATAGATAAAGCCAGACAGAGCCAGATTTTGCTCTGCCTTACTGGTATCAGCAAATTTGGTCCGGGACCGGAGAGGGTGGCAATTCTCTGTTATATAATGCTTTGAGAGGAATATCTCCACGCTCGTTAAGCATCCAAAGAATTCTCCACCGAACATCCGGGACGTGACCATACCAAAACCAGCCAGTAGACGTGATGGGTTCCTAATCCATCCGGTCTTGTCTGGCGTCCAAACCCCCCCGATCTAATCACTTTGTGTTCCGGTCTGACGAGCCTTTCAAACTCCACGAGAAAAGTTGAAGAGGACTCAGAACGAGAATGAGTATTCCCAAAGGATAGGGAGACTCATTCGTATCTCCGTATAATGCGCTGACATCTCCATGGCCGGTCGGCGTCCCTTTGATCCTTCCCACTTTCTCCATCTATTATTCATATCAATCACTGGCTGACTGACCTTCCGATTTCTTGCTTCCGTGTTTGAACCTCTTCGCAATGATCTTCTAAGCCCATATTCATCCGAGATATCAATTCCCGGTTCAAACAAAAACCACTTCTCCACTCTCACTCTCCTTAGGCGTTCATAAAACTCTTCGTTGTATTCTCTAATCTTCTTTGGGTTTCCGTCCTTTCCGAGGAACACAAAGCCATTCCTCCTATCCTGTTTTAACAGAGACCTGCATAAACGATCCATCCACTTCCCAGCCATGATTCCGCTTCGAGTTACCCTCGCCATCGGTAGCATGTGATACCGCTCCCCGGTCTCTCCCTTGAGTCGTCCAATGAGTGGGATGATAACGTGGGGGTGATCTGGGTCAAGCGCTCCCACGTCAATGTACTTCAATAATCCTGATATGTCCGTCTTTACGATCTCTTCTCCTCTTAGTCCCAACAGGAACCCGATAAGTAAAACTCCTGCAAACTCTGCGATCCCATCCCTCTCAATTGGGTTTTCATGGGCTCCGTTCCAATCGTCCTCCAAGTGCCTCAACAACTCGAGGAAGATCTTTCTTGACAGAGCATAATCTTGCACTACTTTATCTCCCATTCTTTTGTGACATCCCAGAATAAACCTTGCAAACCAATACCCGTAAGTTGGGCATGTGGTGGTGTAGAACTTATTGGCCTCATACGCCATAGAGCTGATGTTGCCAACATTCTTGGACGCGTGATAAGCATTAGAGAACGCAGATCGGAATCTCCGAGCTGTGGCAAACTGAATGGTGTTTTCGTTCCGGCCAGGGTCCAGAGATCTTCTGAGTAGGCAAGCTGCTATGGCCATGCCAAAAGTGTCTTCCAAAGGAAACGGCCCCATTACCGGGGTTACACTCGGGATTCCAAACATATCGGTACCCACTTTTTCCAGTTTTTTTACTTGTGCAAAATTTGCCTTGACCGTGCTTGACTCGCGGGACCAATTGGCATTTATGTTGGCGTGGCGAATGTCTTGCATGAAAAGCATATGCTTCTCATTACCAATATCTGGGTTCCGTTTCATGACGTTCCTAAAGTGGCAAATGTCACACTGAAATGGAGTCATCAAAAAATCCCCAATTCTGGACACTCGAAATCTATCTTCATCTCCATCGATTGCTACCTCAAAGCCGTCTTCATCAGTTGCTGTTCTTATAGGATAGGGACTTCCAGCTGGGACGATGTAGCATTTCGGACACCACACTTTCCGGCATGCTGGAAAGTTTCCACGCGCGAAAGAAAAGTTCCCGCAGAAGTTCCCCTCGCCGTTCTTCACCGCATTCCCGCACAGCGCGCAATTGCCACTCCAATGTTTCCAGTAACTTTGTTCCTCGCAAACTCCAAGGTCTGTGGGGTATAAGAGGAAGATAGACAAACATGGTTAGTGGTTCAAACTCTTTATGGCCCCAGCAACTGGAACCCAATGGTATGGTGGTATTGAAGTCGGTTTGTCGCGTAAGTAAACGTCTCCATCTCCCCGTCATTAAACGTGGGACGATCACAATATGGCACGATTCAGGGTGCTTATGCCTCGCCTCTCCTACTTGCTCTGCCACCACATCCGCGGCCGCGGGAGGGGGCGTCCACAGAAAATTTCCTCTTCCATGGCCCTTTGTGAACCAATCATCTATTACCAGATGCTCCAATTTTCCCAATCTTTCCTCCCATATGTTTCTCATCCAATCAAGTACTAGCGGAGATCTATCCACTGCAGAAAGATGCAACGGTACATAATTCAGCATATTTTCTCCCGTCATGACCCCTTGGTTCAAATCTCCCCTTGAGCCGCCATCCGTACCCTGCGCTATCATTCTCTTGCCCGAAACATGCAAGAGGTGAAGGATCAAGTCAGCTTCCTGCTGTACTCGCCGCAACCTTAGTATGAGATGAAATAATCTCTTGGATGAGGAGTTCCCATTGTAGAACACGCTTTTGGCAGTAGAATTGTCAGTGAATAGAAAGATCTCCACACCATACAATTCGCCATTTCGTACTCGCATTTCCAGGGACTCCACCAGATTCAGCAGCTCCCTGTAATTAGACGATTCCTCGCTATTGGTTGTGCACCAGTGCCCATAACGATAGTGGATTTTGTCTTCTGCAATGAAGCCGCTTCCTTGCTTAGAGAAGCGCTGAAACGTGCTGCAGAATCCAACCGCTGATGCGTCTCCAAACCCATAGAATACCGTCATCACCCTCTTACTGCGTACTCTCCGAATTGGGGGACTCTCTGAGGCCGTGAGAGCCGATAACGCAGCCAAGTCATCCTTCAGTCTAGGTACTGCCTTCACATATTCCGGAGCATCTTGTGAACTTGGAGTTGGCGACTCTCCCTTGTAACCAATAGACTTCCATCCCTCATCATCTCGCCCTGGTCTCCAAGCATCAAGAGTTAGATGTATTCCTTTCAAGTAGGGAACCATCGTTGGGTAGGTTCGAGTGACATAGATTAGAAAACCGCGCTTTCTCTCTAGCGCCTTGTGCTTCAAAGACCCCGACGTTGACCCACTAAGTTCTTCCACGATCTCCTTAACCTGAAGCTTGGTCTTGTCCCATTTTTCTTGAGACACGAACACACTTACTGAATCCTCCGTGGTTTTTACCAAGGATCCAGCCCAGGCTCCCGGGTTTCGTGATCCCCATCTTCGTTTTCTCGCAGCCTCTTGAATACCAAGTCCATTCAAACGACTAGCCGCCTGTCGAGTTGCCTGCTTACATTCCAACTTATTGGCTGCTGTAACTCGCCCATCGTCAACATAGATGAACAAATCCGCAGCAATTTTACCATCAGACCACCGGATCTTGAACACCCAAGGCAAGCTGGGGTCATACGTACTTGACCCTGGTAAGTTCAACTTGACTTCGTCCCACCTAAATGCGTTCTTCGGGTCCTTCCTATCTCCCAAGGCAATCTCCTTTGCCACCATGATAGCTTGCACAGCTTGGTACGGTGAACTTTTCAATCCCATTGCGGCTCGCACCCAGCGTTCCCACAAGATATCACCTTCTCCAAAGTATTTAGTGAGGTCCACTCCGCACAAAGATTGGAGAGTCTCGTGCAATACAAAATTTAAGAAACAATCTCCAATGTCAAAGTCGCTCATGAC